TTATGGTATCTTAAATCATCCAGATTTAGTTTTCTTTTTTTTTGGATTTCATTCTGTTCAAATTAAGGAGGGAAAAAACTAGATCTTATTGGGAATGGGACAACATATGGACCCCAATTATAGGAACTGAGCCTGGTAAGAAAAGTCCTATCTGACTCGTCTCTTAAAATATTCCAAGAACTGGAAACTGTCGGAGGACTGAATTAACTGACGTCAGGATGTCTCGACTAAAACAGGACATTAGTCAACAAAACAGGACATTAGTCAACAAAACAGGACATTAGTCATGCTTGTCTTGTGTCAGCATCCTACTTATGTTGACATCCTATTTGTGTCAACAAGATTGTTGTGTTAGCAGCCTGCTTTTGTCAATGGCTTGCTTGTGTCAGCATCCGATTAGTGTCAACAGCCTACTTGTGTTATCAGCCTGTTTGTGTCAATGGTGTGATAATCAATTTGTGTACTGGTACTGTGTACATAATGTCCCAGGGAAGCTATGTATAATTGATTTTAGTTTTACCGTTGGGGACTTTTGTTAGGTTAATCAAGTGTTTCCAGAATCTCATAATTGACGTAAGAGCTCTCTACAATGATTTCACTAATGGTAGTCGGGAACAGAGCTGTGTTCTTGTGTTTGTGTAAAAGGATGTCCTTCATAATCTTGTACCATTGGTATTAAATAGTGGGTAGGTGGTGGTGGTGGCGGGGTTGTTTCATTAAAGAAAAATGTGAAAAAAGGCCCTTGTTGGAGGGGGGGAGACAGAGACAGAGACAGCTGTAAGATTGAAATTTGCATTTTTGAGGTTCGACAATTTCGGTCCTGAAAAAAAATTGGATAACCTTTATAAAAAGAAAAATTATTGTAAAAAAAATACAAATTTATAGCCATATACTGTGTGTCGCATAGTCTTATTCCATGTACATTCTGTCCTTTATGTTGACACTAACACAAGCATATCATCCTGGTTTTTCCAGGTACACAACAAAGTGTTTTTTGTTTATGCATCACCATGACAACCAAGGTAGTCTCTGTTTTATGTCTTCTTCACCTGACAGATAAATATTTCATGGCAAAATTGATTTTCTCTACCAGAGTACTGTTGTGTACTGTACACGTTTTTTCCTGTGATTCACTGACATGTCCCAGAGGAAATCCCAAGCTACAGGGCATGGTGTTTGTCAATAGAATAATGCATGTACTTGCAGGTCTCAGAACAAACAGTTGTATAAGTATGCTACATATGCACATAATTAGACACCATCATGCATATCACTTATCAAAACAGTTCCACTCAAAAAAGCCTATGAAACCAAGCATATAGATCACCTTAAATAAGGGGCTATATGTTTATTTGTAAAAACAAGAATTTGTGTATTAAATCAACTCAGTGATCCCTGAATTAATTTCTTAATTAAATTAGATAATAGAGCTGTACTAATAATATTTAAAGGGAGAAAACTTGAGGCCCAAAATATCTGAAAAAGGGAGATAACTTTAAGTCTGGAACATCTTTCAATGGGAGATCACTCTATGTAACATTATCTTTAAAAAGAGATCATTTCTGAATTTATTTCGTTATTATTAGATAATACTAATGATATGTAAAGGGAGATAACTCTAAGCCCCATTCATCTTAAAAAGGGAGATAACATTAGGTCTGAAACATCTTTCGATAGGAGATATCTATAGATCCATAACATCTTTAAAGGGAGATCACTATGTAACAATCTTTAAAGAGAGATTACTCTTGGTCAAATATATCTTTGAAATGAGATCACTCTATGTACCATTCTTTAGAGGGAGATAATTGTATGTACATACATCTTTAAGGGAGATCCTTAGGTGCCCTACATCTTTAAATTGAAATCACCCTATAGCTAGTTACCATATATCTTTAAAGGAGTATTATGATGCTTGTCAGTGAAGTGGAAAAATGTTAATTTGTATATTTTTTTGGTCACAAAAATCAACACTGGCAATATTTTTTACATAAAAGTCAAAGAATAAATGATGTTGAAAATGTTACTTTGTATTGGTCTTATTGCTCATCATTTTATTTAAATCAATTATGAAGGTTGAGACTTAAACAATGGTGCAAATTCAGATTTAATACTTGTAGATAATTACGTGTATGGGTGTGAGATTATACTTTGTGGATTTGACAGTGGGTATATCAGTCACAATATCAAATAGCACAAGATATTGCGCATCTGATTAAGTGTACAAGGCCGGAAACTATGTATGTAATGCTTGCTTAGCTTAATTACAAAAAAATCCAACCAAGATCTAAATTTAATTAAAAAATTAAATTAAAATTCAGTCTGAAAGTGTATGTGTGTATGGATATGACTATATTATGGTCGGGGGAAAAGTGCATAAAGACAAATACTTCTGTAAATAGACTGAAAAATTGATCTTGTTAAGTAAACAAGGCTTAAAACAATTCGTCACCGATCTTGACCTGTGTGTGTGTGAATTATTTGTTAATTCTTTGGTATAGATATTTGGATGAGTAATTAAAAATAACTCTGAAATCTTATCTTAGCCTGAACATCACAATTCAAAACCTATTTTTGTTTAAGCATTGGAGATTTGAATTAAAAGACTTTGATTAAATTAGAATAATGGTATTGTACCAATTCTTATTATCTGATTTAACACGGACACGTGTGTATGGGATACCTAGATTATATATACATCATAGTAATTGTTACTAAATAACACTTGACAATGACTTGAAGGTGTCTATCCAGTTGTGCATTTCATGTCTATATTTTACTACACAAAAGCTTGAAGCAGGTAAGAAATAATACCACTTTGGGCTAACATCCATTTTTGTTCGGATTTCCTATATAGTCTAATAATGCTTTTTTGTGTCCTATTTCGCAATCCATTTGTAGATAGTTATGTCACACTTCAGGAGCTAAGTTATTTGTTTGAATTTCCAATTAGCTACAAAAGATTTATCAAAGTATGTTGTTATAAATCTATGAATCTTGATTTCATTGGCTGCTGATGTGATTCTATTTTTAGAACCTATGAATATCTTAGAATACCCTTGCAGTCCGTTTGTTCCAATATAGGAAATTATGGCTATTGAATGCCTTTATGCAAATCATTTAATTTAAACAAAGTGCTCATTTCCTGATACAGCGTATCATAATGTGATATACATGTGTCTAAAAGTATTGATTTTCCGTTGATAGGATCTTGTTACAATTTCGTTTTCAATTAAATAATAAAGCTAACTAAGATAAAAATAAATAAACCAATCAGGTGAGTAGATTGGAAATATTTCGATATACATGTACAAGCATTTGTTCCCTTTGGGCAGGTAACATAAAATATCTCGTTATCGTTAATTGAAACCTAATGCAAAGTACAGTTAATACAAACACGGACAAACGAGCAACTTTTCGGACAATTGTGATGGTGAACTACACGACCTTGGCTATCTATCTATCTGTATGTTATACTCCACAGACACCAGAATGGCTTTAATACCGCAAGGTTAAGTGACTTTCCTTGTTTGGTTAATCTAAAAAACTTGTTAGTCTATCTTTATTTCAGAAACTAACACGTTCAGACTAAAGAGTTCCACATAATGTATACCTTCAGGATTGTTACCCGATTGTCCCTCAGATAGACCCTAAGCTGTATGCCAGGAAAAGACACTTTTATGAATAGATTGCCGTACTAGAAATATTATTGTAAACTATGGCAGCTATGGAGGATGCTTATTTCAGATTAACTTATTAAACAGATAAGCTAATAACGAATGGTTTACAGATATTGCCTTTACACATTATTCATCACAAAGTTAGTTCAACATTCAAATCGGGAAATTCATGTTTTAAATCTTTGTTGATTCAAAAAAAATTCAACTGGGAAAAAATATATAGACAATAAGCTGAATAATCCGCGAGTTACTTGTTTCTTTGATGTTTGTTGTTCTTTGAACCAGAAAACCACTGCAGGTAGATATACAGGTATATAAAATATATATCATGAATTTCGTAATACAAATCACATTTTTTCTCAATTCTGATTCATTTCCATTTTACAGCTATTTATATATTTTGGGTGTGAAAATTGTGATTTTGAAATCATTACCTCAAAATTAAAAATTAAAAAAATACTATTTTTCAAATTAAATAGCCTAGCTAAATGTTTCCAAAGTGATTTTGATCAGAGTGATAAGTAATGGATGAAGGCGAGGGAGGGAAATTAGCTGAGTCACATTATAAGGGTTTCATGCACGAGTGATGAAAATATTGTGTTCATACATCGCTTTCACAGTTCACTCATCATAATGGGTAGAGATTTCTACCCGGATTGAGCTGAATTTCTCAACCATTGATGAACACGACACATTTGATTGGTTCCGAGTATTTAATGCAATATACACTCGGATAACAGGCAGGCCACTTATATATATTGCACGAACCGTCGGATACTGTTATCACATTTGTTGTACTTGTGAGCGTTAACAGATAAACTAACGTTGGTCGACGCTGACAAAGGAATATCTCGCAGACTATACTTATATATGGTCCTTGCAATGGGCTTTTACATGTACACCTCACAAACTTGAGGTAGCTTAGTGTAAACTAAGATTTCTTGAATTTGTACAATTTTGTACCATGATGGTGTTTCGTTGAATTCGTTTTAGTGAACATTTTCATCCCGTTTTCCATGCTCATGTTTGAGCTTGGTAAATTCTGCTGGATTTTGAGTGAAGGTGTTTTTGTGATGTGAAGGTCTGAACTTAATGATTATTCAGAAACTGCTTGGTCCCATGTGTATTGCATGCATGATATTGGCATGGTGACTGTGAAATCGACCACGGTCATGATTGCATGTGTCAACTACACAGGGTAATTAGTATTGAAACTGAGCACTTTTAACCGGGATCCAATCAATATCTTCTTAGTGAATTAAAAAAGTCAAAATGCATACTCCATCTCGCATTCATGTGCGGACTACTAAATATTTTCAGGTGTTGAGGAAGCCCTACGACAACCAGTGGACTTGGGGGCCGCTACAGAAGGCCCGCAGAAAAGCGCGGCAACCTGTCACCAAGATGGACTCTTCGGATCAACGTGGAGAAGTCATTCTTCGAAACCTTGCCCACGATCTTCTGTCAGAATACGAATGTGACAGTTTCAAGCAGATTTTGCATCAGTTCAAGCAAACACAATCTGTTGCAACACTTTGCCATCAGGTCAAGCCATTGATCAACACAACAGAAAAACTTCTCCTGCTTGTGGAGTTGAGTTCCCGTATACCACGCAGTCTGCAGGAGGATTTTCATAGGATCTGCAGTCTTCAGTTTGCTAATTACGAAACTTATTTAAGGATTTACTCCCATGGAAACGCGCTCGAAGACAATCCACGCGTAATTGCGCAAGACTCTTCTGGCAAATTTCAAATTGTTTCACGAGGAAGCGAAAAAAAGTTCATGGTAAATTCGAATAGTTATAAGAATTACACAGATATCAATTCTCAACATGGCACCAGTGTTACAAGTGGAATTTACAGCGATCATGACGAGGAATCATTAAAACCAGTCGATGATACAAACGGGGACGTGTTCTTGTGGGGTCCTGGTAACTATGGCAGTGTGGAACCAAAGAAGACCACCAAAGTTGTCAAGCCTGCCGTCAATGGAGCAGTGCGGAGAATATTTCTTGCTAGACGCGAGGACGGAAGTCTTGGGCTAGGAATTCAGGGAGGAAAGGAGTATGGAACGGAAATCTCTGTCAACGTTCTTGATCCTGAAGGACCTGCTGCTTCACAGGTATGATGCTATTTGTAGACCTTCACATTTAGTGGTTAAAACATTGCATTTTTAGCAGTCTTCATTTACTATTAAAAGATTGCTATTTTTTTGATTTTTTTTTTAAATTTCTCAAAAAATTGTCTTATTTATCAAAATATATAAAACAAGCTTGAAATTAATTTTTGTATACCTGTAAGTTAACATTTAATTAAATAGCTTGACATTTATAATTACATTCTAAAAAATTAGAAAAATGGTACAATATTAGTTAAAACATTAATATATATTCTGATGACGACCCCTTATAAGGCTACATGGCAGTTTTTAATCCAAGTCTTTTTGTGTCTTGACGCAATTTTGTTAATGTAACAATTAAATCTTCTGTGCACAAATAACATCGCAAAGTTTGTGTAAATATTTGAAAGTCTAGTGCGGTACATTGATCTTAAAAATGTAGAAGAAAATCTTTCAGATTACTCGTATGAAAAAAGCTGCTCCTGACCCGGTTTCATTTATAAAAGTGTGAAATGTGTTACAGTTGACCTGTTGAGAACTATGACAAGCTTTTTCTACAAAATCTACAAAATTCACCTTTTGTCTGATAACATCAGTCATTTTAAACACTTGACATATTTTTTTTAACTCATACACTACGGTATAATGTATTGATTGTATAGGAGGGAAATAGTTTGATAAATATATTCTCTGAGTAAAACTAATTTCAAAGACCACATATCCATGAAGTCCATTTGTCCATTAAGAACACCTGTCTAAAGAGACACCTTGCCTAAAAATAAAACCTGTCTATAGAGACTGTCCTTCTGTAACAACAATTGTGGTTAAACAAAACAGGTCTTTTTACACGGCAACAATCTGCTTAAAAACAACCTGCTTATAAAGACCACCTTATAAAACAACCTGCTTATAAAGACAACCTGCCTTAAAAGACCACCTTTTAAAGACAACCTGCTTAAAAATCATTTGTCTTTGACACGTATAAAAATAGTTTCAGGTTTTGAATTAAGAATTCTAATTTTATATCCAAAATATTTTTAAGGAAAGTTTATGACACTAGATCTATACTTCTCGCTGTTAATTTTCTAAACATTTTCTTCATATTGGTAAGTATGAATTATGAAAAGTTCTTTTTCCACAACCAATAAGATTTTCTATGCGACATTTCGATGACTAGTACGATAGTACACCTTTGTGTGCATACGCTTCACTGGTCATTTGTCTGATGAAGGTGACAGTGTACATATCGTACTAATCATCGAAACATCACATAGAAAATCTTATTGGTTGTGTAAAAAGAACTTTTCATAATTCCCACTGTTAATACTAAATAGTTGTTGTTATTTCTTGGAATATCGAAACATATGGTACATCAAGAATTAAAATATTTGCCATTAAAAAACTGTAGCTAGTGATAGAACAGGTTTTACTACTGATTTTACGAAGACACTAGGATTTCTGTACCCTGTACGAGTCGGGGTTTATGCTCGACTGTTTATACACAAAAGACTATAAAGCCACATACATGTGGGTAAGGTATGTTGATAGAAAGATAAAAATGTTTTGTACCCTGTCCAAAACAATTACGTCATAAAAATCCTAAAACATGTTTGACGAAAGCCTTGATGGTTTCTCATTTTGTATAAACATCAATGAATTTACAAAATTCTAAATTCAAAAAATCTTAACACTCCCTTTGTAAAGCTTAATCTCTCACCATATTTATGATAATTATATAATGAGTTGGTTATAATAAGGATGTAATATGGTCCGTTTATATCATATAGCCTGCAGTATTACTCTAAAGTCTGATACACATTTTGTTTTGTTGACATGTAAAGTTACCAGTTAAAGAGGTTCTTTAAGTTATTCAATCCAAAAAGGATCTGGCATGGTTTTTTTCAGTCCTTTTGCTTAAGTACTGATTATATTTCATTTATGTTGAAGAATATTTTTAAAGCAAACAAGGAGTACAAGAAGTCAGTTTTATATTTCATATATAGGGCTTTACAAAAGTATATAGCTTTGAATTTAGAATAAATACAATATATGAGGTCTTTTGATTTAAATTTTAAAACCCACTGATATTCATTATCAGATTAAGATAGGATGGATATGTATGATATATATAGGATCTTGCATGAGTTTCCATTTCATATAAGACTTATGAAATGAGTCTTAAAGAATTTTTAGGTCACCTGAGCTTTAGCTCAAGTGACCTATTGCTATCCGTTTTCGTCCGTCGTCGTCCGTCGTCCGTCGTCCGTTAACATTTTACATTTCAAACTTAAAGTCAAGTTCTGCTGGGCCGATTGAACTGAAAGTTGGTAGGAATGATC